GAGGGCAAAAGTGAGCCCAGCACGTGAGTTGGGTCACGTGGAGCCACATATCCAGATGGGAACACCAAGAGGAGAGCAGATACGGTCAGGCAGTTGGGAGAGAAGGAGGAAAAGTGTCAGAAACGAGCCCGCAAAAGTCAAGATGAGCAGAGGAGGAGCAGGAAGTGGATGGGGAGGAGGAGCAGGAGGAGGAGCGAGAGGAGGGGCAGGCTGAGATGGTAGAAAGATGAAGAACGGGAGGAGGAGGAGCCAGAGAGGGGGCAGCGGGAGGAGGTGGGGTGCTCCGGGAGCTGGGGCAGAGCTTCCCCTGCAGCTCCTGCAGCCCGAGGAGGAGAGCATGGCAGAGGAGGCTGATGTGTGCCGAGGGAAGCAGCAGCGCTGCGTTTACCCGCGTGGGTGCAGGGGAGAAGTGTTAGGAGGAAGGAGCGTCAGGAGAGGAGCTGTGACGGACCGCCTGTGACGGCTGTGGGTCCCGAGGCAAGTGCAGAGGTGAGGTCCGGGCACTGAGTATTGAGGAGAGAGAGCGAGCCTGGGAAGGAGCGAGAGAGAGGGGGAGAGGTGGAAAACCTTTATGTACCTTGCAGTCCACCGCTGTTTGCAACTGGCAATAAAATAAACGCACTCACTACACGTTGAGATTGTTTTGCGTGGGAAGGTGGTTGGTGAGTGAGCTCCCTGTGTCAGTGTTTGCGCTGGAGATTTCCCATCTTATTCTTCACCCTCTCCTGCTGAGGACAGAGAGTGCGAGAGTGGCTGTGTGGGCATGGGGCTGCCGGCCAAGGTCAGGCCCGCGCAGCAAAATGCGCTCACATCGACACCTAGGGAACGCACCTGATACACGGCAGTCAATCTATTGCATTTCCTTAGAAGTAGGTGCTCCAGAGACTGTCCTACACTCTGCAGTACTGCAGTACTATAAGTGTTGTGCTTTGGCCTGGGATGGAGGGTCTGGGCCTTGCAGAGTCTCCCGCCTGCTGGTGATTGGATTCTTTTCACGAGAACACGGGTGCCTAAGACACGCACGTTTCTAGCTGTTGCAGAACAGTGCTTGCACAGAGCCAAGGACTTTTCTGCTTCTCGTGCGGTTCATCCAGTTTGAGGAGGCAGGGGACAGAGCAGAAGCTGGGAGCGGCCACAGCCAGGAGACAGAGCCACACAGCTGGCGGCCCAGCCTGGCCGGGATGTCACACTCAGCAAGGAAAACTGGAGGTGTCAAGCAGCAGGCATAGGTCAAGGTGGGATGGATGCTGTTGCCTTCCCAAGAGATTGTCCCGTGCCATGAGCCGTCTGTTGCTGGATGTGGCTGAATATTGGCCTGCCTGCGGATGGGAAGCAGCCATTGTGTTGCCCGTTTTCCTTGTCGTGCGGGCCGGGCTTTTGCTTTCCCTGATAAAATGTCTGTCTCTCAGCCCCGTGAGTTTACCTGGCTTCATACTGTCTGTATCATAACAGCCCCTTCTGCTTGACTGTTGGGCATTTTATTGCTGTAGGAGTTTGTGCTCAAAGTTTGGAAGGTCTGCGGACGTGAAATTATTATGGTAAGAATGCTTCACTTATACTGAGATTTTTTACGGGAGTTTTTATATGTAGTTTATCCATGAGGAAATATTGTGGTTATTATAATGTAATCGATGGCAGTTACTTTTTCTTTGTACGTGGATGTAGCTCATACATGTAAGGGTTTGAGAACAGCCTCATGTCATTTGCCAGGGAAGTGATTATATGCTTACAAGGCAAGAAGGTACCACCTTTGGTGGATGCCCCCCAAAAGTTCAGAAGTGTGCAGCGAGAAACGTCTGAAGCCTTTGCAAGGAAATCAAGTAATCTTCATCCCACGACCCATTATGCGCACTCAAGATGGTTTGGTCTGCATGCTAACGAACTCTCAGTTGTGTAGCGAATATGTAACCAAATGCCATTAAATCTGTTTATTATGTATTATTTTGGCCTTTATTTTGCACAATTTTTCCAGATGATGTGCAAGTTAGGTAGGTCTATTCCCTTGCACCCGGTGTCTGTGTAGCACTAAATAAAGTGTACGTGCTTTGTAATCTTGCTACGATTATAGAGTTTGACTCCTCATGTCAATTTGGCATCCCAGATGGGACATCCTCTTCTCAGGTGCAGGATCTGTTGAGAAGAGGTATGCCTTTAGGCACACCCCGAGATTTCTCAGAAGAACTCCCCTTCTTCATCCAATCACTGCAGGAGCTGACAAAGATCATCCGTCTGGGGACCAAATATGTGTACGTAATGTGGGGAACCAGTAAGCTGTATGGAGACATCCTACACTGGGAATAGCCATTGCTGCTGCCCCTGTGTTGGTTAGTGAGATTACAGGTTTGAAAGGTTGCTGGCTGGGGTGGGCAGAATCTGGTGAGCTGCTCCTTGGGGGTGCACCCAGAAATGGACCTTGTAAGTCGTATGCAGGGTAACAGGGCAGGGTATAGTGGGCATCCTGTTAAATGGTTGTCTGGGTTCTTCTGTTTGTGATAACAGGAGTCATAGGTTGTACAATTGCTGTTACCATCTGTTGTAAATGTTTGTTACTGTGTATCTGAATGAATACCATCAGAATATTTGGGTTATCCTCCAAGAAAATTAGGACTATGAACTAAGAAATTTCAAATTTAATACTTTGACCAAGCCAGTATTGCGTGAGTGTGGTGAGAGTGAGACATAGCTAAGCTACAGAACGAGAGCAGAGTCCCGATCCACCATTTCGTTCTCTTGCGAGGGAAACAGCCAGATACGGACAAAGCCAAAGCTGTTTTTGCTCTCTGTGTTATTTGTTTGTGCATATAAATTTTCTCTGTTTAAATGAAAGTTACAGATTAGGATTATTATGGAAGTACACACATTACTGATCACAATAAGGGAATACAGAGGCAAGGTTTAGCCCTAGAGGGTGGCAGAGAGCGGAAGGATCCTGAGGATAAATTGTACTGATTATTGTCACTGTCTTTGTGATTGGTCAATGTTTACGTCATGAAAGTGTTGCCTACGAGGCTGTTATGGAACAAGGGGTGCCTAAAATGTTACTGAGAAGACCCCCTGGGTTGTATTTTGGCTCACTGGAGAAACATTGCTGGTGAGCCAGGGGGACTATAGAATAAGAAACCAGAAGCATAAATGGAATAATGGGATCAGTTTTATAATTGAGTACCCTAATCATGAGACCAAGTGCTGGGTGTTTGTGGAAGTTGAGGATCTGTATTTTTTGATTTGTGGATTTTGGAGGGAATGGTACAAACTGTTTTGATGGTAGAAGAAAGTGTAATTGTTAACGGTATACAGAAGTAGAATTGAGGATTTGTGGAAGTGTAATTGAGGGTATGAATAGTGGAATAACATACAAAGGAAAAAAATGTTAAAGAAAAAGTGAGATTATCTGTGCTGGCATGAGAGCAACCCCCCCCCCCCTCCCCCCTCACCCCCACCCCTGCTCTGTACCTTTCCTCCGTGAGCAGAACTTGGTGTGAGAGAGTGAGCTACAGATGGAGAGTGCTGCTGTAAACAACATTACTTGCAAAGGGGGAGTTGGAGAGGACAGGGCACTGGAACTGAGAATAGCCTCTGCAGAGATCTAAGAAACCCAAAATGCCAGTGTTAGCACTGGTAGCCTCTGGAGAGGAGGAGGTAAAACTGAAATATGATGTTAGTAGTTTATGTAATTATGAGTTTGGAAAGTGGAAAGTTTGGAAAGGACACAAGCTGAGGAAGGCAAAAGATGAACAGGCTGTGACAGGGATGTCAGGACTGAAGAGAGGGGAGCAGGATAAAGAGGTTTATCTTTTGGTGGGCATGGGTGCCTCTTACCACCCGTAGATGATTTTGTAACAGTAATAGGAGCTAATACCCAATAAGAAAAGGCTTACTTTCTGGGATCAATTAAATATACGCTGAGAAAATGAGTGGGAATGCATAAATTCTTGTACATGCCAGATTACTCTGGCAAGAAATTAAATAAATCTGGATCTAAAGATCAAAGAATATTAACTGATTGAGAATTGTAAGTCTGCCTTTAACACAAACTGGGAAAAACAAGGTTGTAGCCCTAGAAGTTAACGGATTCTTGAATAAGATACCTTAGGAGTGTGGGTATCAGGGATACCTGGTAGAGCCAAAAATGCAGCCCTGAATAGAAGTTAAGTTAAAAGCAAGAGTTAGCCCAATCAGGGTAAAGCAGTGCCCTTTAAGGATATGTGACTGTATACACATAAAAGAAATAATATATAGTTTTTGGACTTTGGATTACTAATTGAATATGAATCCAAACACAGTACTCCAAACCTGCTGATGAAAAAAATTGTAAAAGAAGTGCTACAGTCTGGGACAAGATTTGAGGGCAAGTTATAAAATAGTTGAATGTATACACTCAGTGGTGAAAAATCTGTACACTTTATTAACCAAGTTAAAGAATTAGTAGGTGGAATTTACTTTCTGGATTGGAAGGATGCCTTTTCTGCCTGGTTTGGCCGGAGGAAGCCTAAGGTTATTTGCCTTTGAATAGGAAAACCCCAAGATGGGGTGAAAAGACTCAATTAATCTGAACAGTGTTACCCAGGGTTGTGAGAACTGCTCAGTGATTTTTTTGAGAGCTGGTCAACTTCTGAACCTGAGACATGGGTTCCTCCATCCCAGGGTGGAAACTTACTGTAGTATGTGGATGTCACAAAAAGTAAAAGAGGACCATGTGCAATGGACTGTGAGTTTGCTGAATTTCTTGTTTAAATGATTATCAAGTTTCTCAACAGAAAGACATATATGGGATCACAGAATCACAGAATTGTAGGGGTTGGAAGAGACCTGTACAGATCATCAAGACCAACCCCCCTGCCAAAGCAGGTTCCCTAAACAAAGTCACACAAGTAGGCATTCAGGTGAGACTTGAATATCTCCAGAGAAGGAGACTCCACAACTCCCCTGGGCAGCCTGTTCCAGTGCTCCATCACCTTAAGGACTGTCAGGAAAGAAGCCATCTGCCAAACCCCTGAGTCACAAACTGCTGAGGAAATCTGTACATTCCCGGGAATGACAGGATGGTGCCTACTGTGGATACACAGCTATGGACTATTGGTAAAGCCAAAATCTTATATGAAATGAAGAGGCAAGGTGGGCATTCCCTCAGCTGAAATAAGAATGAAGGCCCTCTGCTTTGGGGCTACCAACTTGCATGAAAAACAAGGAATAGCCCTTGGAGTCCTTGCACAGAATCTTGGATCCTATCAAAGGGCAGTGGCACATTTCTCCAAACAGTTTGATGAAGTGAGTAAGGAATGGCTGGGGTGTTTGAGGGCAGTGGCTGCACTAAAACTCAATACTCAAGAAACAAGTCAAGTTATGCTAGGCCATAGAATAACAGTTTTGATGTCTCATACAGTGTCTACCGTACTGGAGATAAAAGGGGGGCATTGGCACTCACCCCAAAGACTCCTGAAATCCCAGGCCATCCTAGTAGAGCAGGATGATGTAGAAATAATTGTAACTAATATTGTCAACCCAGTATCTTTCCTCAGCAGAACTCCTAGAGAACAAGTAATTCATGACTGCTTTGAAACAACTGAAGCTGCATATTCCAGCCAGTCGGACCCGAAGGACAAATCCTTAGAAGATGCAGAAGGCACCTGGTTTACCAATGGTAGCAGTAAGTCAGGATGTGCAGTAGCTGCAACTGACAAGGTAATTGAAACATAACCATTACCTGAGCAGACTTTCCCTCAACAGGCCAAAATAACTGCCTGGACAAGAGCCTTAATTGTATGGACAGATGCTTATTATGTATTTGGGATGCTACACATCATAATTCCATGTGAAAAGAGCAAGGATTGCATACACAAGGAAAACAGCATGATGCAAATCTACCAAAGACTGTGGCTGTTATACATTCTAACAGGACATCAGGAGGGTAACACTGTACAGGAAACTGGAAATAACATGATGAATGAGGTGTCAGAACAGGTAGTTGAAGGAGGCTTTAATTCCAGACAGTAAACTTAAAATCTCTAAACCTGAAGACCCTGTAAATAAAAAACTCAGAACCTGTAAAATATTCTAGAGAAGATAGGAATCTAATTAATAATTTAGAAGGGAGGGCAACAATGGCAAATTGATTTCTCAGAACTCCCCAAAAAAGGGGGGGAGGTGTTGCTGTATGTTGGTACTGATACCTCTTTACAGTGGCCAGAGGCATTCATTTGTAAAACTAATAAGGCATGTGGAGTAACTGAAGTATTGTTATGGGAGGTTATTCCAAGATGCTGAGGAACTAGTTGGTCTGTCAAGGAATGCGCACTGTCAGAAGTTAAACTTATAAGGAAAAGATGAGCTGGTTACTAATTTGCTTTATTTCATTGTACACAGGGTGGTGTCTGTGACAAGATGATGCTGTGTGATGTTACATTTTGT